GACTCCGAGTCGGAGGGGAGGAGTGGGAGCCCCGGCCCTGAAGGCCTCAAAGGCTTCTTTGGGCCCCTCCCTCCCACCCATTTTCCCGGAACCGGAATCAGAAATCTTGGCTGACGTTGGGTTTGGGGAGCAGTATTTGTTTTATTTTTTAGCAGTTGAGTGCGGATTTCAACCACCCAACCACAATAAGCAAACATGGGAAAAGCCCCTCCCTCCCACCCATTTTGCCGGAACCGGAATCAGAAAAATGATGGTACGGGTCCTTACCAGGCGGATGACCATCCCTCTTTGCCAAAGGAATCCAGTCAACAGGATCATGTTGTCAAATAAAGATTCAATCAAGGTACATCCTTTGTTCTTGGTATCTTGGCTGGAATTGGGACCCCGGCAAAAAACAAGGTTTTTTTGCTTGGTTAGTGGAAAACAAAGGGAACCCGAAAAAGCAAAAAAGCAAAAAGCCAAATCTAATTCTGGGGAAGGTATAAGGGCCGCACAAGGAGGCCCAAGAGTTCCGGCACCTTACGGCTTTGGCAGTTTGTAGCTTAGAGCGTCGAACAATCAAGGAACTTAAGCGGCAACGAAAAGCGAACACGGTTAGTTGAGCCTTGCTTGTCAAACTTCTCTCAGATGCCCAGTGACCATTTGGAAAAAAGGGTATCCTTTGTTGGTTGGTTGACTTTAAAGGGCAACAAAAAGGCGCAAACTGAGTTATTCCCCAAAAGTAGCACTGCAGAAAGTTTGGCCACTTGTCCAAGCCGTGGGTGGTGGACACTTTGGCCAGACCTGAAGCAACTGATGAGGCTCGGAGCTTGGGGGATGGCAATCAAGAGAGGTGGGGTAAGTGAGCGCAATTTCTGTCAACTGACTGACAGCCGGTACCAACAGTAACAGGCATTTGGAGTAGTAGGCGCACTGGCAGGTTTACTGGATATGGCGGGGGGGCGGGGAGGGGGGAGCTAAGCAGGAACCCTTTGACTTTGTAACTGCTACCAATGCATGCAAACGCCACACAGCAAATACGAACAGCGCCGGTGACAAGCTGCAGATAACACCAACGCGCCAGGCTGAAGTCCCCCCCCCCACAAATCGAATCTCATTGTCTCGGCATCGCAAACCAAAATCCTTTGCGAGGGCGCGATTCTATTTGACCGGATGTGTGAACTTCTGCTGGTGCGCATCTGTGATTTATGGGTCAACACTACTTCTGCGTTAGTTGCAAGCCACCGGTGTTTGCGGAAAGTCACCCTTTCTGCAACACCAACATGGGTCATTCCCATGGCTACTTTCTCACGTTTCAGGGGATCTTCTTCGTGCCGGCGTTTTTTCGGCAGGGATGAGCATCATACCCTATGCCCCTATACCCTGAAGCGAGGGTGTCAACTAGCTTGCTCCCTCTGCCCTCATTCCCTGCTGAGAACCAGCTAGAAACAAGGGACCCCCTGAAAACGGTTTCTTAGTGATAGCTGGGAACCTGCGAATACGTCCCCTACAGAAAATGAACAAATGTCCAGTACTAACAGGTGCAATAAACCAAATTCGGAAGCAAATTGGTTGTTGCCTCAGAATCATGGTTGGCGAATTCCCTCTTTTATGGGTAGTTTGCAGGCGCAGGTAGGCCTTGTAGGGCTTTTCGAACGCTTCCTCCCTCTTTTGCGGGTACTTTGCCGGCGCAGGTGGCTCTTGTTTGCCACCACATCCTAACAGATCAGCATCGGAAGGTGCCCGCGGGCCTGCCGTTGACGCCAGCGCGCTGCCGGGCCCTCGAACAGTTCGAGCGAAGATCGATCGAAATCGCGACAGGGTCTGTGGTCGAGAACTGGCTGCTGTCCTTTTGGTTTCCCTGTAGTACCACCGATTTGGGTTCCCTATTTTGACCATATCAATAGGATTCACATTTGTTTTTGGGGGGTTCCCTATTTTGAGGAAACCCCATATGGAGAGGTTTTGCTGGGCTCTCCGTTTTCTGATCCCCTGCTAAAAGCTGACAACTGTTAGTGGTGAAATGAAAACCTCCACTGAAGCAACTAAAAGACTGAAAGCATAAATACGGGGATGGCTGGGAACCACCCAAGAAAATAGGGCTTTCTTTTTTGTTAAAAAAAGAGGGCATATAGGACGCATAACCATGGTGTTTCGTGTAGCATTGTACTTTTTCCGGTGTTTCAGCTTCCCCCTACTAATTGGTGGCTTGAATCATCACCGCTTTTGTCCATGAGTTTCGCTTGGGGTGATGTTAGGACCTCCAAACAATGTGGTCTTGTGGCTTGGTGGTTGGGGAGTCTCTACAAGCAACAGGGGTTCAAATCCAAACCCAAACCACAAACTAAGGGGTACCCGAGTTTAGCTGCAAACCAAGCCCCAAATTTGGGTGTTCGGCCAAGTGAGAGAGTTGTTGGTAGCCTGGGTCTCCTGAGTCTCCTCCACTTATATAAGTCCCCCCGTTCAGTGGATTTAACCTTGCTATAATTATGTTCCTGAATAAGGGTTGAACAACAACCAAGTGGGGATCAAACAACTTTACTTGGCGAATCGAACATCCAAGTCGTACCCCAACCAACCCAAGAGATTGTTCCCTTTGAGCATCAGGAAACTCACACAATAAGATACGGCCAGTGCAAAGGTCCCAACTCACTTCTCCGAATCCGCTTCGCACCACTTTGAGACGATGGTTGCAACGATTCTTGGTTGGAATTTACAAGCAAGGGAATCATCATTCCAGAGTTTCTTAGGTGGTGCAGGATTCCGTGCGTCCACAGTATGGCTTGGCATACCGTGGCCCTTCGTGGTAATGTCCGCCTCTGATTAATAAATAGCCCCCCCCCCCCTGAATGCCCCGAAATAAAGTTAAGAGGAAAAATCAGGGTCGGGACAAGAATAGAATGTGTTTAGTATTGGGCTCTGTTTCTTTGGCTTTCGAATACTAGTTTAGAATTGGGCCAATTCTAAAGTAGTATTGGGCCAAGAACTTTTGCATGAGCGGGAATCAGCTTAGCTTTATTTGGGGTCAGGAAGTATTTAGTGCATGAGGCTTCATGGGGGGTAGCCTTGCTGGCAGGGTCAAGTTGTGACTGTTGAAGGTTTCCAGATAAAGAATTTGATAAAGGGAATCACTCAATAATTTGGGGGTCTGATGGAAATGGAATCAAGAAGTATGAGCCAGCTTGAATGGAAAGCGTGCCCTGAAAAAAAAGGATCAGAGTATTTTTTGGGGGAAAAATTAGCTTTGTTTAGGGGTAGTTTATTATTTGGATTGGGAAAAAGCTTAGCTTTGTTCAGGGGTAGTTTACTAATTGTAGGTGGACATTACTCTGGCGAAACAAACAAGCAAAAGGCAAATGCTTAAGTTCCGAGGACAATTCCAACTATATATTTCCAGTTGTGCCGGAATCCTATTTGAACCCAGAGACTCCTGAAGCTTTCAATGCATTACCCGACCCCTCCATTAGACACCCCGGGAATTGGTGGTTCGGTCTCAAAACCAGGTTGTTTGAAGACCCCTAAATCAATCGAATTGGAGCCTCTGGGAACACATTAAGCAAATGCTTAGGACGCAACCCGCGGGATTCCATAATCCCATCTCCGGCCTTCGCCTTCCGCGCGCGACGCGCGCAGGAGCCGCGCTTTCAGCGGTCGCCGTGGCAGCGGGGTCCGCGTCCGCGGGGTCCGGGGGGTCTGCGGGGTCTGCGGGGTGCGTGCGACGCTCCAGGCCTGGCAAGAGCAGCAGCTGGCCATGAATAGCTTTATGTAGGAAAGGAAACTCGGCTGCTTTCTGCTCCCCTGCTAAAAGTGAATAACGTTTGGTTTAATGGAAAACCCATCAGTTGGCAAAAGTTAAAGTCCTAACATCCAAGCAAAATGCAACAAAGGAAAGGAACCCGACTCACCAGTGGTTGGTGGACATACTGTACACCCCCACCTAAATGATGTCTAAAGGGTCCCCTGTCGCGTCGCGCTGTGTCGTATTATGTTGCGTGGGTGTGTCTCTCAGTGTGGGAGTGAATGTGTGTGTGTGTGTGTGTGCGCGCGTCTGTGTTTGTGTGCTCGCGTGAGCCTGAGTGTGCGCGTGAGTATGTGTGTGTGTGGCCAGAATCCTGTTTTGACTGTGACATGGGCTGGGAATCAACCAGCATGATATCGCGGAAAGGGTTCGGCAAGCATGTTCCACAATCATGTGGAACACCCTGAAACTTTCCATGGCTTGCGATGGGTTTACTTTGAGGCCCGCTCGAAGTGTTCTGCAACAGCAAGAACAGGAATTAGCTACCTACACGTGAGCCTCTGGACATCACGGAGGTACAAAGAGTTCTGAGGATCGCAGCAAAAAGGCTTATGAACTTGTAAACACGAACTAAGGTAGAGTTATGAGGTATGCATTGACACACACAAACTCACCTGCCTACGTAAGCTGGACTTTGCATTCAAGACATTGAACACACACACACACGCATTCGTATATTCTCTGTACATTTATGATATGGACATGGATACCCTCAATGATACCAAAACACGGTGACAAAGTGACTGGTGACTGAGACTGAGCTCAGCAGGATTGAAATGAAATTCAAACTGCCTACTCAATGCACTGCACTTGTTAAGCAACCCTTTGACGTTTACTTCCCATTCATTTGAGTCATGCGGCCGTTCTTTCCACCGGCACAGAAGCATTGCCCAAGTTCTTTCCAACGCATGAACGCTCGGCTGTTCTTCTGACCACTCACTTCAAGCTTTTCGCGGCACGTCGTGTTCGATTGCTCATCATCGTCACTGTCCTCACTAGACACATTGCGGCAGTTCGACTGAGATATATCCGAGGACGATTGCACAGATCTACGCGCATCCCAACAATAGTCCATGCAAAGATCATGCAAAGCAAGCGAGCAACAAAGACAGTGCGACTGATTTGGATGGGAAATTGTTCAGCCTCTGCCCATGTCTGTGTATCCATTGTCGCAAGGGCGCTCTGATTAAAGAAATCCACCAGGTGATCACTCTGTGCTTCATCATACCCTTGCAGATAGCACAGCAGTATCGGCACGTGCAAACAGAACATACCCCAAAGGCCCCAAGTCTGCAGAGTAAAAACCGCAGTATCTGGACCTTGCCTCTCCAGCCTCCAGACCGATAAGGGGATAGCCAACACTGAGACAATGTACAGCAGGCAGAGAAATCCAAAAAAAAAGCGGTGCGCGAAGTGACCTGCGTGATAGCAAATCCAGCGCAGTAGTTGACCAAGCAAGCATGGAGAAGGAAACCCCAGTCTTCACATCAGTCACTCCTGCCCGCTCAATGTTCAAGCCATTCTCCCAGGACCGACGCAGGTTGTCTGTATAAGCACCAGCAGTTAACAGAATGCCGATCACAGTCTCCACTTCATCCTCAGCACCAGCAATGGTCTGTCTGATTCGTTGTTCATCGTCGAGTTTTGAACAATGTGCGTCATGCAAGGAGTGGAACTGCATCATCTCCTTCTGCTCTTCGAAGCGAGCCTTGTCGCTCTTCAAGAGAACAAGCAGCACGGTCACCGAGGCATTTGAGAGAGTCAGGTTCGAAAACCAACCGTAGTAGAAAAAGCAGGAAACCCAGGCGTCGCCCTCCCTTGATGTCGCTACTAGGGTCCAATCTACATCCATCAGCACGAAAATACATCGCTCTCATCATATCTAAAGACCAGGAGTGGTGCCAACAGGGCACCCAGGAGGGCCAGCAAGGAAAGTACTCGGTATATCAACTCCAGCCAGCTGTATAGACCTGTACCGGAAGAACGCCCAACGAAGAATTCCAGACTCCACCACACTGGAACTCCCACAAGAAGTCCGCAGAACATAACTACGCCAACTTCTCGGAACCAATATTTGAAGGTTTTTTGTCGATCTGGCACCACGGGCAATAGATAGATTTTGTTCCATTTGGCTCCAAGCTACGCCTCAAATACACACCAAAGCCGCGAGTAGACTCCCGTGGAAGGATTTGGAACTACTAGCACGTGTGCAAGCAAACTTTCGGCCAGATTTTCACTAATAAATTCATCCAAGTCCAAATTTTGTGGATTTGACAAAAGGCAGCAGTACAGGTTGTGACGTTGGTAGAGCTGGGGCCAAGCCACATTAATTCCCCGTTGAAGGTGGAAAATTCCATGCCAGGAATGAGATACAAAGACCTCACACTCCAAACCTTCAGGATGCTTCATCAAAGCATAGCTGCATAGCTGGCACCTCCAGCCGATTCAGCTCACTGCAGATGCGATTTGACTTCCATCTTCTGCAGACCTCTTTCACCAAGTCGAACTCAGATCTGGTAATGCACCATCTGTCGGGAACTGAACGATGCAAATCTCCGCTCGCAAAAAGTCGCCATGGCATTTTGGGCCAGGGCACCGACTGGGCCTAGCGGACCTGGGGAGATTGGCCGAGCCGGGTACAACGATAGGTGAAGATTCCAAACCAATGAGAAATGCAATGACTTCCAAGGGGCAAATCGAGAGGCTGCCGCGTATGCAAGAGTTCAGTTGGGCAGTTCATACTATCAACTCGGCTGTTGTCCCCTGCTCAAACAGTTTAACTTGCTGCTCGCACATCGCTATCAAAACCATGGTAAGATTTAGCTGTTTGCGGATCTGTAGGGAAACACGCCTGTTGACAACAAAATCAGGTTTGACATCCAACTCAACAAAAGCCAAGCGATGATGGGCCCCTCATAGCCCTTAGGCTGCAATCGCTCCCCTGGCTGTCAAACGAGCACATGCTACTACAAGGGTCTAAATACGTAGAATCGGGTGTGCTGGTGAGGTGCTTGAAAGCAATATATACTTAGTCATGAGTCTACGAATGCACTATTATTAATTCAGAAGTGTCGCCCCTTGAGCCGTTTGAACCTGATAGTTACTATTGGCGGCTAGTGGCAATTAGGGGGCATTGAGTACCATTAGGGTCGTACCCGTCCCATGGCTCCCTTTGGCATGCCTCTGAATCAGATTGGAGCAGCCTTGGTGAATGCGGTTCACTCAAACATGTCTGTAAACATATAGTCTATGAGTTTGTCAATTTCAAGTATCACATGATAACGATGCGTGTACAGATATGCATGCATTTGCAAACAGGCTAAAAGGACCCTGCGCTGTTTTGGGAGACCTTGTGGGCTTAGTGAGGTCATTTTTGGCGGTTGCTGAAGAAGTGCCAATCAGTGAACCAATGCCTAGATACTAATAACATGTTCACTGAAAACACTACCACAATACCAATAATCACGAGTCTGCCGCACCAGTAGCCTCATGTCAATCAACATGTGCGGCTTCTTGGACAACACGGGAGGGTTTTGGGGGGCAAGAGCAATTGACTGGATAGACAACTGTAAAGTTGCCGAAAGGACCTAGAAATTACAAGGCGATCACCTTTTGGGGCCATGACTAAATATGGACCAGAAAAGGAACACCAAATGGTCAAAAGGTCGATTCGCTTTGGGCAACTGAGGTAATGCTGGCCCCGGATTAAACTTGAAGTCTTGGCGTTTCAGTTTGGTATTGCGCCAGCACAGTAGCACAGGACCCCCTCTACACTAGAATGGGGCACCCTGAAAACATCCCCCCGGAGTCTTCGCACGAACACGCCTTCGACGGACGATTGGCTTGCCGGTTACAGCGCACGCTGAATCGCCTGCATCCCTACAAAACCTTGATTGCCCAAACACCTACAAACGTGAGGATAAAAAGGTGCAGCGTTTGCAGGCTAACACAGCAGTCCTCGACAGGCTGTTGATCAGTCTTGCTCGGCCTGAGGTGAAACATGACGATTCACTACACCTACAAATTGTTCGCTTGAAGGCTTTAACTTGAAAACATCAAAACGGCTGGGAAATCCGATCGTCGGCTGAAATTTACTTGAGCGAAATTCGACAAGGTGCTCAAATCCTTGCTGGACCTTCAACACGAGGTCCCATCGCAAGAGGCAAGTCGCCTTCCAAAAAACGCCTTCGCACAAACACATGTTAACTCTCAAAAGAACGCAAAGCTTAAGAACGGAGACAGGCCCGGTCCTACAATACTCAGAAACAATTCCCGCTTACCCCCAACTCAGACCCCTTATCTTCAACTTCAAATATCTACCAAATTTGCAGCTAAGTTGATTGAGTTGTGCCATTAATTTGGACTCCTCAAGTTGCTAAAATGCTCTGATTCTATGGTCTGAACTGATTGTGAAACCAGGGTGCCCTGAGTTGCTTGACTCCGTTGATACTTTGTGTTTGACAACCTCCCTCAAGCAAGACACATTTGAGAAACATGACTCCAGTTAAGGGGTCTGATTCAAGGGTCACGTGTATTGGTTCTGAAATACTATACATTGGGGGGCATATGGGTTGTGGGCTTGTGTATAAAGATAGGGGAAACGTCCAAGGGTGCTTAAACCAACACACAAAAGGGGCCCCTCAAAACCTATATAAATATGCCCAGCCTCAGATCAACGGATAGCCCGATGAACATCGGACGAACAAATCTAATCCCCCATGCCTCGTACGCTGAAATGCCATGGCTCATCAAGCTGCACCAATCCAAACACCTAAAAGAACTAACTCATGGATTCCATCGACGCAACCAAGGGAACCCTATGACAAATGGCTATGCAACTGGGATTTTCCGTGGGAATGCAGCATCCTTGTCATGGCAAGTCCACTTCTCTGGAATATATGTGTCTTGTCTCAGTTGGCCCTTAGGGATCCACAAATAACAAGTTCACCTTTTCGGGAACGAGCCTCAAAAAAAGCGGCCCCATTTCCTCACTGGTTCTCAGGGAATCAAGAGGGTATTGGGGACAGCCTCTGGGCATTAAACCAACCCCAAAAAAGGTTCCTTTTCCACCAACCAAGGCAAAGCAACAAGGTCAACAGGACGCTCCGCTTTGGGCAAGTATGTTTCTCATTGCATCTTAATGTTGACCCAAAATCTAAGTAGAGCCCGTCCCACAAAGTGAGGGGGGTGTTCCCTCCAAAAGTGGTCTGAATCCAACCACTAAAAGAGGACACCCCCCGATCAAAATCAACCAGGGGTTTATTAATCCGGGGTTAACATTAATTACTGCACCTGTGTAGCAGGCCATGCCTTTTTTGGATTCAACTTGCCTATGAGCCGCAACTTGGTGCTTGATCCGAGGCGGTGCGCAGAAAAGCCGGCAGCAGGAGACTGCACCAGCATCCCATGTGAGCAAGGGTCAATATTTGCCTCACTTCCGATGGAGTGGCTTGGCCAAACAAACATCTACTTCTTATTTTATGTTATTTACTTTTTTTCTGGCAGGCACTAATTTGGTCCAGACCCCAAAAAACACCAAAGTCCAGGAACTCAGTCATGTACGCCTGTAAAGGGGAGGACATCGAGGACTGCCACTCGCCCAATTAACAAGTAGAACATTGTTTCACCAAATGTCATTTAATTTGACACAATGCATACAGACTGTGGCCCATATTGCTTGAACACCAACCCAAGCATTTGCACTGGACTGGCTCCGACATCACCGACGTCAACTGCAAAATACATCAGCACAGTGTGAAGAGGAACAAACAGCTTAAGTGAAGGAATGATCTCTTTGCTACACAGTACACATTCCAGCACGTTCACGCAAACCAGTCAAGATTGTATAAACAGTCTCATTTGCTCCACCTCAGATTCTGACAAACCCAATCTCCATCTTGGCATGTCGCGCCTTAACAAACGTGTCGCCAAAGCTTTCTGGGCCGTTACGGTACAAGAAAAAGATGCCATTCGCCAGATGATTGACCGGTTTGAACCTCCAGGAAGTGAGAAATGGTACGCAAGGACTTGTTTCTTTCCAGAGCCCGCTTGTGTAAAGCGGCCGGGGCAAGACTGGGGTCGAAGAATCTCTGGAGAGAATACTCACTAGGTCATCCAGTAGAGAGCTTAGAATAAGGGTACCCACTTTTTTCTGTAGTCTATTTCAGTAGGGGGGGTTCCTCTCAACCAAAAAAGTTGGGAGAGAAGTTGGCACCTAGCTGGGGGACCTAGCTCACCAAGAAGGTGCCCAAAGCCTCGTACTCCTCCTTCACCGCTTCGACTTGGCCTGACTCCTGACACCGTCACCCAGACGGATGACTTCTGCGCACCAAAATTTGTTTACCGCTGTACCTCGTTTCACAAGCATCATTTTGGAATAGGAGCCAAAAGTGAGATCCCGCTGAGTCACTTTGCAAGACTTTGGTGTGTCTTGAAATAGGGGCCTCTCCAAAATTGGTGGCTTTGCTTCAGTTCCCTTTTGAACAGCCCAAAAAGGGTGAAGGGCTGTTTCAGGTGAGGCATCCGCCTGCCCGTTGGCATAGGCGTCCGTCTGCAAAGGCTGTGCAGGTGGAATTGCCTGCGGACAATCGGTCTCGCGGAGTCTTCCCTTTCTCCCTTGCAGCCCACTAATCGCAATCAAGCCCCCTTTGACCTTCCTCAAAAACAAACCTTCTTAAAAAAAAAAACTCCTCGAAAACAACAAACAATCACAGTGCTCGAACAAAACATCCCTTTTAACATATTTTAATCTCAACAAACCTTCCTCAAACAGAACTTGGGCGTTCGATTTGCCAAGATTGCAAGTTGCTGGTAACCTAGGCTCTAACCCACCTACAATTCCCCTTAAGTGGG